AAAGGTTGGTACGGGGACAAGGAATGGCCAGGCCAGGAGGGGGGGTGGAAGGCAGCCAATTGTTCGAAGCTGGTTGACCACGCCATTGGAGAGATGAATAAGTGGGTCAAGGACCGTGATGGAGTGCTTTCTGGTACGATAGGCAGCCTCGAAAAGCCGGACGGGTACAATACAGATGATGTGTTGCCCGTGGGTGATGTCGAGGAAGGGGTAGGGAAGCAGATCCAGCAGGAAAGCGCAGAATGGGGTGATGGCAGCGACGAGGTTGAACCATGATGAGACTTTTTTCAGCCTTGTGATCAATTGCTACACCCATGCACTGGGTGTACCATGTTCCAACAGCACACATATGTGATTGCTGTGCGCGGGGGGGTTGCGTCCCTGCTTCCAGCTGCTGCAGTTGTTGAAAAAAAAATCAAAAATATTCAATTGTCGACAAGTCTTACCCCGGATGCAGCTTGCCACACGTCAACTGCATTCATGTTCTATCTTCTTGCGTATTGACCGCCTTCGTCATGGAAGCGTTTTGCGCTACTGTATGCCGACAGGCGCTTAAAAATGTTAAGTTACAGGCCGAGAAGTGGGGATACCAATGTTGGCCGCATGTTGCTGGGCATTTTTTCCGATTTTGAATCTCTGCTCAGGTACACGAAAAGCCATAACTCAAGCAATTTGATTTTTTTTTTTATGTTTTTTTTTCATCGTGACCGCCTTTTCCCTGTCGTCAATTTGCGCTATCGTCTGCTGTGCTGCGCATCGTATTGCGAAAGTTACACTCCGAAACGCATATCTTTTAAATTGCTCCTATGAACTATGTGCCACCGTAATAGCTGTCGCTTTTTACAACGAGCGACAGCTGACAGATGTAACTGTCGTCAGACGTTTGCGTCCATGGGCGGAAACAGAGTGCAAACACCACACACTTGATATTAAACCTGCTGTGCGCTGGTGTGACAGCTGTGGTAACGTTAACTTTCACCTACCGGTTACCCCCCCCCCGTCGACATCCCCGTTCGTGGTCATACATGCCCCCCGCATACTAGGCTGAACCCCCCTGTTCCCCTTTTCTGTTCGGTGTTTTTCCAACTGCCAGCGAAAGTAGCAGGACACGAGTCAGTTCTCGTCACCTAGCGCACCAATCGTCATGGCACCACTTCGAGCGTGTGCTCCATTGCGATATCTCGGCGCGTGACAGTTGTGTTAGGCATGGTTGCTGTGTGTGGGAAGACCTTCGTGGCGGCGTGGAATCCAAATCGTTTTTTTTTGGCCCGGGCAATCGGGCCGCATCGCCAGGCGAAAAAGCCAAACCGGATTTCACATCGCCATGATGCTCTCGCCACATACAGCACCCATGCCCAACACAACTATCACGCCCAGAGACACCACAATGGATCACACGCTCGAAGTGGTGCGATGGCGATCGGCGTCCTAGGTTTCGAAACTAATGTGGTGCTGTGCTCACATTGCTGGCAGTTGAACGCGGCGGTAAAAAAAAATCATGCGCGACAGCAATACACATCGCCTCATCACACCACAGGGAGTCCAGCGGCATCGATCCCAGGTGCTGTCGCCCGCTGTGCGTATGTGTCGCCTATCATGCGTACGCTGACTGCTGTGCGTGTGTTATCTGCCGTGTGGTGTCGCCCGCAGTGCGTGTGTTCTCTGCTGCAATCCGCTGTGTCCTCGGAAAAAAAAAAGTGCGTCTGCTGACCCCTGTAGTCTCAAAAGCAATGTAGTCTATACTGTAAAACCTAGATAAAGCGCGTACAGACACGCAAGATTTTTTGGGTTTCAGCGAGCCCTTGCAACTCGGGGGGCCGGCAGTCCAGATTAGATATCTCGCTTCGCTCGAATAACCAACCTATTTCTGTCAGGCGCATACTCTTGCTTTGTCATGGCACTGCCGGCTTCATCCCCGATGTGGAATGGGCGAGTGCAAGGAAACAACTTACCGGGAGTGCACATCTACCAACTAAGAAAAAGCAAGTGTCGACTACTTCGTGCAAGCATCGATTTGGTGAAAGCCTCTGAGCAAACGGGTCCGCGTGTAGTGCTTACCCGATACGTGGGATTTTCCATGGTCCCGCCCGCGTATCCCGACACCACCTTCGAAACTCCGTCGAGGGTCTTAAACACAGCTTCGATACACCTTTTGCGCAAAATCGCGAATCCAAGAGGAGGAAGATACACACTTCGTAAGAGGGCGGGTGAGGCAATGAAAACGGTACTCAATGCCAGTGACGGGCAGCACACGCGTCGCCACAGGCTTACACGCGCGATCGGTTGTATGTGATTCAGTGGCAATGCATGTGTGCACACCCCCATGTGCGATAGCAAATAGATAGCAAGAGTGCGATTTCGACGCCTTCCATCACAAGAAATATGTAGAAGAGATGCGGAGCAGAGTGGCCATGGCATTTTGATACTGGACTACGGTACGGTAGGGTTGCTCTCTGTGGGGCAACCCGGCAAAACAAACGCCGCACGCAGCAGACACAGGGAAACAAAGTTCATGTAACGCCAAGGAAGCTTCACTGTACGGACTTCAACCCACACCCTTCGTCCCCTCTCAGGTGTCGAATACTTCAGCCCTCGGTGGAATGTGTGAAATTGCGCTTGTTCGCAAGAAGAATGTAAAAGTATGGAGACATGAACACTGAACAGGACACAAAAAGGCAGGGCTTCCTCTCCCCCCATCTCTCTCTGCTGCCATCTGCTATCCCAAAACGCGAGAAATATTGGACATCCGATGCAGTGAAGACACCTCCAGGAATCCCTATGACTTTTCTCGACGGGTCCTCGGAGAGCAAAGTAATGCTACTACAACAATGTACGTACAGGACGGCCTGGGGAGCCTGTCTGCAGTTGCAGAAGAAGTACCGAGGACAGCAGCAGGTTGGAGAAACATGTCACCTTGAGAGAAAGACGCACAGCGACTTGGTTGCGACCTAGAGATCGACTTATGACTGCTGGGTGGGTACTCCATGCAGTATATTTTCCGACGTCTAGACGCTCATACAGAACCTGCTCACCAGAAACACCCTCCACCGAAGACGGCCTTCTTCTCGGTCGCCATGACGGTAGCGGCGGCACTGCTGCGGGGCCTGTACGCTACCACCTGTCGTCGTGATCGAACCGCATTGCTGGTGCCGCGGTCTGTGGTGGCGAAGCTGCTCTTACTTAACCCTGGCGAGGACACGAAAGCCCCGGTGCGAGAGAGCAGAGCGAAAAGAGCGGCCATCACTGGAAGAGTCTTCGTCATCGCGCCTGTAGAACACCGACACAGCAAAGGTGAACTTGTGAGATGACGTTTGCGATGATGCGGCGGAGTCAAAAGAAGGTTTCAACGAGGCGTTGTTCGAGACTGTGAGAATCTGAGCAAAAAAAAAAAACGTTCTTCGTTATCCCGCATATCTTGAAATCATCTTGTCACCTTGTCTCTCTCTCACGCGCACGCTCTCTCTCTCCCCCCCTCCTGTATACGATGCTGCTGCTGCGCCTGGCTCGAAACTCGCGACGAAGAAATGGAGAGCGACAGCAATCTGGAAGATGAGCTAGAGGAGGAACTGTTGCTGGATCCCGAGCAGATCGCGCCGTCGCTGTCGACCCCTCGGCAACGGCTGGAGGATGCGAGGGCTACGGCTCGCGCATCGATTGGGCGCTGCTCCGCCGACGATGCAAGAGGAGAGGCGAACACGTACACCACTCTAGATGGCAATACCGGCTGGAGTCATAATTGTTCGTTGTCGGCCGAGGAAGACTCGTCAATGAACCTTCTTTTGCAGGTGTGTAGGGTGGTAGACTGTAGCATACGGCCAGACTTTTGCTTCTTGTGGTCATTCATGTTTGCACGCAGCACGTGAGCACCGCCTAGAATGGGCACTTAGGGCGGTCAGCGCACCTGACAGCTCACCAAATCTGACCTGATGTGCGCTGCTTTGGTAGAGACTTTCCAGTGACGGGGCAGGCAATGGAAAGCGCGAGTGCTTCGACGAGATAAGAACCGAGAGCCAGCGTACCCTCGCAGAGATGAGCGAGACCCTAGGATCCCTTCGCCGGTGGCGAAAGCAGCGCGATATCGATCCAAGGGCCACCGATCCTGACGGCGCACCAAAAAACTCGACCGAGTTGTCGCTACTCCCCGATATAAACCCGAGCCCTCATTGGAACCGTTCGTCGCCAGAGACGATGACAAATTGGCCGAGGAAGGACAACAACGGCAACTTCGCGTCACCGTCGCTGCATGATGTTGCTGATGCCGGCTCTTCTCCTGGCGGAGAAGCCAGAAAACAGCAGTTGTCTGGCGAAAAGGTCGTCGGTGGCGCACAGGATCCTCTTGTTGCTCTGTGGCAGGTAACGTTGTAGGTGATGGTGTGTCAAACGGTGGTACTGCATAGAGGTTAGCCGCTGCTGATGCGGCAGAATTGGCAGGACATCTACAAACGCGAAGATATCCACTTCCATTTGTAAGACTAAATCCCCAGCTCATGCTTTCTAGCGACATCGTGGCAACGGCCCATGTACATGGAAGAAACAGCAGGGTCCGGCTGCCTTACGGCCAGAGCTAATCGCCCTCCAGGAAGGACGGCGGGAAACGCCCCCCAGCTTCCTTGTCTTTGTCCCTGAAACATCGTAGGCGAGGCACCGAATCTTGCCTCCACTATGACGTCTCTTGACAGGGGGCACCGCCAACATCAACAGTCTCCCATTACAAGAGCTACAAATCACGGAAACAAGAGTGTACGTCTACAGTAGCAGGGAGGAAGCCAACCCAGTTGCATACACAGCAGCAGCATATTAGTTACGTCGTTGAATGTCCAACGCCGCCTGTTACAACCGTTCAACTTGTAGGAGCACCATCTTCGGGCGCAACAGGCGGTTGGAAGACTCCAAGAGCAGCTAAAGCACAATATCATCACCTACCCCGCATCAAAACCAAGGGATAGCAGTACGACCATTGCCGCTGCCGAGGTTGTCGGTGACGGCAAAACAGAGGCCAATGCTGGGGGGAACGCACGCAAAGAAGCGTTTCCTATAGAGGGTTTACTGGCCAGTGGAGAAAAGTGTGAGTGGCCCTCGAAGTCTCCCCCCAGCAGCAGCAATGGTGATGGCAGTGAGAGGAGCAGCACCGAGGACCGGGTGTCAGAGCTCCGTCGAGACGTCGATAGCCTCCAGATGAACCAATGGATCCAACACACGAGGACTAAGGCGTGCGATCGCGCGGAGGCTCTTGCCTGCGAGGCGTGCGACGACATTTGGCGGGGTACTGGATCTGCTGCGGTCGGGCGAATAGAGGGAGAGCTCGACAGTTTTGCAGAAGACCTCGATGTCGTGCTGCTGAGGTTGGGTATTGACGGCGGCGATGATCGTGGTGATGAACAAGGACAAGAAATAAATGATGAAGGAAGCGACGTCAGTGATGCCATTCTGGCAGATCAGCAACATGTTGAAGATGAGGAGGAGCGGCGTGCTCCCGTGGCAGATGCACACGTCGGCCACCGGACAGGAACAGGGTCGAGTGAACAACAACGATGAAGATGACCATATCAGTACAAGTCTTTTCGTTGGGAAACTGTGGTCGTGCCGTGTACGGCCTTGTGTAGCCGAGATCCGTGGCGTTGCCCCAACATACATGCCGTGCTCTCACGAACCCTTCCCCCCCCCGACTCTTGAAGCCTACCTTCCCCGAACAATTCCCAAGCCAAACTTGAGCAGATTTTCCCTGTAGTGGCTCGTTGACAGATAATCTGAAACCGCAATATCTTGACGACTTGCCCACAGGGAGTGATTGCTCCTAAACTGTGTTGACAATATTCCGGCTAATACAAGGTGTCGTGTCGAGGCTTGAAGCCAAAAAACCCAGCACGACCGCTCAATGTGGTGAATGTTTTGGTCGAATATCAGTGTGCCGTGTCGAGGATTTAAGCCATAGAACCACTCAACTCAATGTGGTGAATGTTATGGTCGAATTGGCTGGTTTGGCTCGACAATGCGGGCTGAGCATGATGGCGAGGTTCGCAGATGTGCGCGTGGGTCTCTTGACACCGCCAGTTGGTTCTGTACACAACTCCGACACCCGTGTTGGGCCCTCGACAAATATGTGAGCTCATCGGCTGCTCATGCACCTCATGCTTTATCTTCCCACGCCCTGAGGGTATCTGCCGTCACACAACAAGCGAGATAGACCAAGTAGTGCGGTGCAGCTTAGCTCATCATCCTTGATGAAACGGGAAGGACGAGTCGATTCTTGCAGGATGAGTCAGGATGATGGTAGACACTCATGAGCTTGTCGCCCTGGTGTTTCAGTTGGTCCCCTCTCCCTCCCGTAGTCAGTCACAGGTCAAATGCTGTACCCCACAAGGGTACACACTTCTGTAGGAAACCAATGGCAACTCAAAAAAGCAAAGTGATCCAGACGATATTAAAGTCAGATATTTTGGCCGCAACAGATGCTGAGCCGCCAAAGGAGTGGTGCTTCTTCCGCCGAGAATACCATGATCGGGAACACATTACTACAATCGCCATCGACTAGGCTGGGAGCCACAGCGTGCATCATTTATCCTGAGCATGCACGAGCCCCCTCGCGAAAGCATGCACGACCCATGCCCAAGTAAAACTGCTGCTCCGGTCGGATGGATTCAAGTGTATTTGGGAAAAAATGGAATCGATCGCGATTGATTGTATCGAAGTGTGTTTTGAAATCATATGAAGGCGGAGCTGCGTAGCTGTGTCTGTCTCCGGAGTTACAGCAAGATTGTGGCGCTTGCACGGGTCAACTGAAGTGACAAAATATCATTGCCCAGCTTGGCGGCGGTGCAAACATTTGCGGGTGAGACCCCAATGGCCCATATCAGTGGTTCGAGTACAGGTACATCCAAGGGAGGCGCAACGAAGTATGAGCGGGACCCCAGGCCGGCGCAGGCAGGCCTCACCGAATCCTGCGCTTCCATCAAGCGGTCCTCGGGATGGTCAGGACTTTTTGTACACAAGAGCACAGCAGTAGTGGTTGAACGTGTTCCCCGCGTGGGCAAACACAGGGAACACCCGAATGCATGTATCCCTTCGTTGTCAAGTATTTGCTCACCGGTTTTGCGACTTTCTTACCTCGTGCAATAGACTTTGTGGTGACGAGTTCATGAGATAGCTGCGTGTTGCTCTTGATATTTTCTGCTCCCGATCACACCCAAAGCACAGATAAACACTATTTTAGCTTGATGGGGCATCCCCGTTGCCACCGGCGCCACGAACGAAGCCGGCTGTGGCGTGGAGCCCCATCGTCGACTGCCACACCTTTGGGCTATGGTACGTATCTAGCACGTCGCGGCCTGAGTGCCTATTAATAGAGCATTGGTGGCCGAGTCGCGCGAACCAGATGAGAAGGCCGTCCCGGGCCACCTACTGCCGGATTGAGTGGTGCGAAACACCTGCTCGGGGTGAGAGAAAGGGTACACAGGAAATGAATGTTGTAGGGTCGCAATATTTCGTTTCCTCCGCCCATCGTGGCGGAAAGAGGATGTCTCGCCAGGGAAAACCCGATAATCTTTCTGGCGAGTGGGCTGTTAGAAGAGACGGTGGTCGTCAACGCAAGCAAGAAAAAGAAGCGATGGTTGTGTGTGAGCGGGATACACGCGAGAGAAGGAAGGAAGACAGAGGGAAGGAGAGAGAGATACAAAGGAGGAACGCCAACCCTTGCCGTTGGTTGTTGGTCCTTTCTACATCAAACCTCACATCTCGGAGGGTTGTGGGTATTTTCGGTGCCGGCATTCTTGCAGGATGGGCAGACGATAACGAAGCCCTCCGACGCCCTTTCGAGCTTCTCGTGCTTCCTACACCACATGTCGCCGCCATAGGAGACAGGAGTGGGGGTGCGAGGGATGCTCAATAGTTGTAGTTGTTTGTTGTTGTTGTTTCTCACATTAGCTCTAAAAAAAGAAAGATTGGGAGCCCGTGGTCTCAAAACCCGGCATACACGACCCCACGAAGAAACAGAAAAGAATAGGGCACAAAAACCACTCGGAAGAGAAACAAAATGATAGAAAGAAAGACCAGCTACCGCACCAAACGAGAAAGAGCGTCGAGGAGACCGATCAAAATAAAATAAAAGGAGAACGGGGAACGCTTCCCACACCCGCCTACAACGCCGGAGGGTTCCGTGCCGGGTTCCCGCCGACCAGGCATCCCCCGCCCTGCACCACACCCCAGGGGGTGCAGCAAGACGGGGGGCGAAAAACAAACACATATATATTCCCCAAAAAAAAATAAAAAATCGAAGGACAACGTACACCAGTACCAGGTACTACAGCAGTGCAGTATGCACCAGCGCATTAGTGTAGGGTAGGCACCGCACCAAAGAGGCAGCAGAGGTGGCAGGCAGCCAGCAAAGGAAAAAACAAAAATAACAAGGAGCTCGAGGTATCGTCCAAGATCATCGTAGAGAGGGCATGGAGAACAAGAAAGAAAGAAGAAGAAAAGCAATGTAGTGTGAATGTACAACACACCTTTGTTCAGTCGGGGCATTTGGCGTAAAAGGTGACAACAATGGTTGGCGAGCGCTTTGTCCACACGGAAGAGCACGTGCAACGGGCGACAACAAACCCTTGCGTGCGGCTGTCGTGCTCGCATCGATACTCGAGGAGAACCACACACCGATCACCCCGGTGGTCTAGTGGTATCCTCGTAATCCGCTAGTCGCAGAGGTCGTGAGTTCGAATCCCCATGGGGTGAAAAAATTACGAAATGTGCGGGTGAAAGCGACATATACCTGACAAGCTCTCGTGAGTATCAAACTTCGACGTTAGCACCGTTGACGAGGGAAAGGGACGGCTGGACCCTTCTCGCGATAAAAATAAAATTCAGCACGCACCGCAGGAGGAAGGTGGGGCATGAAAGAAATAAAAAGAAGAAAAACGTCCTGGTGTTTACCCCCTCCTGTGTGACCCCGGATGGTTGTAGTTGTACGAAAAAATACACTGAAAAGCGTAGTACTCTACATACGCTGAAAAGTGTAGTACACGTCTCAACACGAAAAATGGGGGGACTGTCGCCATAATTAAAAGGACGAAAACACACACACAATACTCTTTCTTTTGCAACTCGGCTCGCTTACAAGTCTCGAGTAGGTGTTTCCCCCTACCCCACCCGGCGGTGCGTCGCCAAGATGGAGTACTCGCTGGTGTCGCGCAGCGTGGGGATCGGCGCTTTCGGTCACACCGACGGAGACAAGATCGCGAGGAGGCAGAGGCAGAGGAGGAGGAGCAGGACGAGGAGGAAGAAGCAAAGGAGGAGGAGCAGGAGGAGCAGGAGCAGCAGGAGTAGAGTAGAAGAAAAACGGAAAAGATAGTGCTGTCTGTCCGTGGTGTGGTTTGACGCCGTCTACGTGCGTCTTATAAATTTGGCGTGACGAAAAAACTACCCCGGTAGATGATGGGTTCTTATGTTTTCACTCCAGGACGTAACTATGTCGAGGTAGTGGCAGGGATGAATGTCTTCTTGTGTGTTTGGGGGAAAAGACCTGGTTGGACATATATTTGTGTGTTTGGCGCGCACTTACATAAGCAGCGCTGCCCCCCGCCCGTCACCCTCCCTTCCCGTCGTTGTTGCAGAGGTGTGTGGATGGAACACCTACCGTTCTTGTATCATATGGGGCATCCGGGGCCTGTGCACCATGTGTGTATGTGTGTCTCATGTGTATATCTGCACATGCCTAGACTATATACGAAGAAGAAGAAACCTGGACCAGTGGAGAAGGCGTTGCGATTCCGGAAGTTCTACTTTTCTTCTTTGTTGCTGCTGGCCTCATGTCACTAGAGAAATGCGAAAGCTTGAGCTTCGTGTTTACCTGTCATGTACTTACTTGATGTTGTCGTGTTAATGTTGCTCCGCTTGGTGGCTCGGAGCTTGTTTTGCCGTTCGCGGAGTTGGGGTCGAAAAGGCTAACTCACTCGTAGAATGTGCATCGCCACGGAGCAGCAGGCTGGCAAGCCGGACAAAAAGTAGGCGATATGCTAATCCCGCTGTCGTCTTGTTCTGGACGACGTGAGTCACAGAATGTGGCGTCTTGCAGCAGCGGAGGTGGCGGTGCCGCTGTAGCTCGTAGACTTTGTAGTCTACCACAGAGGTTACACTGCTGTCACCGCTCTATCACAGAGGTTGGTCTACACTGCTGTGAAATCGGTAGGCCCGAGCGAGCTTTGGAAAGAGAAATGCAGATAGATGTTCTTATCAACTGACTCCCTGGTCAGGCTTTGATGGGTGCTAGATGAGAGTGAGCACAAGGGGCGAAGGCGCGCTTGTGTCTCATCTCAACAACAAAACAAAAACAAAAAACAAGCAGCAAAAACACAGCAGGTTCCGAGGGTCTCCGGAGTAATGGCCCGAGTACCGGAATTTCGGGGTTCGGAACAATAAAACAACTACAGTCTCGCCTGCCAACATATCTCCGCTACAACCCTGTGCTCATGTTCTCTGCTGAGTACCATCTCTTCTTTCTGTATTATGTCTACGGAAGGCTGCTAGTTGCCGCAGTCGCACCTATGGTAAACTGTGCCTGACTACGTTGTAACAGTTTTCCTCGACAACGTGTTTACCTGTCATGTACTTACTTGATGTTGTCGTGTTAATGTTGCTCCGCTTGGTGGCTCGGAGCTTGTTTTGCCGTTCGCGGAGTTGGGGTCGAAAAGGCTAACTCACTCGTAGAATGTGCATCGCCACGGAGCAGCAGGCTGGCAAGCCGGACAAAAAGTAGGCGATATGCTAATCCCGCTGTCGTCTTGTTCTGGACGACGTGAGCAAATCTTTGTCTACCGCGCCTGCCCGGGAGCTGGTAGGCCATCGCGACGACGTAGTATGATGTAGCTGTTCTCACATTGCATTGCATTGTTTTTTTCTATGTGGTCAAAGGTCGGTGAGCGAAAGATTTTCTTCGACGTTGCTCAAGTAGCAGGGCACACAACACCCCGTCCATGTGATCTTGCCGGTGTTTGGGGGTGGTTGCGCAATCTCGAGGGGTGGTTGTGAAAGAGGGGGTTCGGGGCGTCGGTGGTGGTGTTGATACGACGCCACGCTGGAAGGGATGAGGTGGAAAAGAAAACAATATCGAACGCATACATTGTACACACTACATACAATAGACGCACACACCGACCCGCGCTTGTGTTTTTCTTTTTGTTTTGGCGGCGATGTCAACCCACCACGTGGTAACAACTGAGAGGGTCAGGTCAGGTCCATTCTTGCGTCAACATACAGCAGTATCAGGGTGGATTTTGCGAAGTTAGTTGTCGTTCTCCTTCTCGCGCCAAAAACGCCAAGTAAACGAGTACGCAACTCAATGGGTCGAGAGTTCTACTGACTGACCCCGGCAGGCACGCTCGATAAATCAAAGTCTCTCCGAGCACGACGGGTACTACTACAGTACGTACATATATATGCCGAACTCGCCGGACAAACAGTAGGGAAACAAATGCCATCAAACAAATTCGTGGCATCTCGGGTTTGCGGGCACACGTCCAACCAAAGCATTAATTATTACACTTTTGAAAATCAACAGATCAGAGTTGTATTTCATGAAAAAATACTTACGATCTCTCCTCCTCGGTACAAGTAGTACCGTCTGAAATCCGTACTAGCTAGTCCAAGTGACGCGGGCGCCTTTCCTCTTCGGTCACCGATTATATATAAAAGCTACCCAGAGAGAGACACAACAGAAAAAATCCAGAAGATATTAATATTTGAACTGATTGACCTCCTCCGCAAACCGTCCGATTTTTCGCAGCAGGTGGCAAGCCATGAAGACAAGACCACCGGGGCGATGTATACTGCACTATTACCCCCCCCTTTTTCGAGGCTTCTTCTTGTTTGCTAGGCAAGAGAAGTCTTCTTGGGGTAACCGGAACCCGACCGGCTGGCGGCGAGTAGAACCACCTTTTTTTCAACAATCTTCTGTGCGTGTGTGTGTGCGGGTACACCACTTCCGCCACGCATTGCCAGAAGTTTCGAGTTCGATAAACAGTGCATCGTTTCTTGGCCCACCCACCGTTTTTCTTTATCCGTACTCTTCTCCCTTCTTCCCCTCGCTCCTCGACAAGCTTTTGCTTAGACATGGGTTGTAGTGAAGGGGGGGGTCTTTCTGGCGAGCAGGGCTAGACTCACCCTCAAGGGATGACCGAAACCTTCTTCTTGCTGCTGCGCATATCCGCCGCGAGGCATGCGCGTGGTGGTGTAGTTGGGTCGGCACTGATGGGGTCAGGCGAAAAAATGTAGATGCGCGGGCCTCTGTGGCCGTCAGCGATGCCCATCTCATTTTTTGTGCGCGGAGGAAGACACCGTCAGAAGGTGGACGGGAACTATGTACACGGCCCTAGGTTGGCTAGAGGGCGCTGCATTGCCTCAGTAACCTGGCTTCGCCATCAAAGGAGGAGGGAGCAGCAGGTGGCGACGAGCTGAACTGGGCTGGTTGACCCCTTCGGCGCGAGAATTTTTATTTTTCAGACCAAGAACCTTGAGTGCAACGAGGGAGAAAGCGAGGAACCGACTGGGAAGGACAGCAACGAGAGCGTGTACCGGGCCTGAGCACGCACGCACGTGTGTTTTGTTGACAATTTCTTAAATTTTGACTTTTTTCGAGGCCGCATTTCTTAACTGCCAAGTTCTTAAGTACGAGCGCCATCTTTATATTCTGATAATAATCATGATGTAGTGCCGGAAGCAACATAGATAGACAGACATACATACATGGGCCTACTCTATTTGATATATGTATTGTTGCGTAGAAACACGCACGGCAACGATTGGGGGGCAAACAAAGCAAATACCGAGAAAAAGAGAGATAGAGTAGGCGATGATATACTTCCTCGGATGCTGCAGCTAGGAGCTAGACAAGTTGCTAGATTTCCCCAGATTGGCTATTCCTGCCTCAAACTGTTGCAGAGCGGTTTGGCCTCGGGCGGTGGGCTCTGCTGTAGCTTCTGCTCGCCGCTGTAACTCCACATCGAGAGACTCCTCCCACAGGATGACCAGGGTATCTGCTTGTAGCTACGGGCTGGCCCTTCAATTCAAGCTACACAGCAAGCTCCACCTCTCAGCAGTAGTCCAGCTGCAGGGCATCGCGCAATCTCGCTCTCAATCAGATGCTTCGCTCTCAATTTCACCAATATGTGGGGGGCTATAGCGACAGGAGCTATAAAACCAAACAACAACGAACAGCAAAATATTAAAAACTGTTGGAGAGGCTGATGATGGACACGCACACCATCACACTATTCCATGTACATATCAAATTGATTTCTAGCCGACAAAGAAGAAGTCGGTGGTCGGAAACAAGTATAAAAATGACATGTTGTGGAGGTGCATTTTTCTTTTTTTAAATGAAGGCCAACCGATCGATATGAAGAAAAGTTTTACGGTAACGAATAAGGAGGGAATGAAATTTCGTTTTTAACTTCCTTGTTCTTGTCACGAACCACGAACAGCAGTGTTCGATAATATATGTATGGTCCGTTCGGGCAAATATTCACAATATTTTCCCTTGCACAAAGGTGCACTTTTCTCGGGGTGGGGGTACTTATTCCGAAATCTGAAAATACCGCGTAAATAGATCTAATGATCACTCTGTGTTGTATCTACCCAAACTGCGCCACCACTGCCAACTACACAACAAACAGCAACTACAATTCTGTTGTTAGGATGTACCGCTATTTCGCCGAATCAGCAATCTACCCTTCATTGAACCAGCCGAGAACAGCTGCTGAGGCCCATGTTTATGGTCACCAAATCTTTGAAAAAAAATCTTCAAATATTTCCAAACATTTGCGTGCGAATATTTGTCCGAGGAGGATTTGAGGACCGCTGTTATGGGAACGACAAAAAAAACTGCGGCGGGACTGTGAGTTTCGGAGGCGTTTTGGTTCGTTTCCATAAAGCACGTGGCACGGGGCCCCCTTTTCTCACGAGCAACACGTACGTGCACACCAGCTGGTGCACACAATTATCACTTTCCACGCCCACACACATACACACGCCAGACACACGCCACACCACACACACGCCACGCACAGACCCCGGTGGTCTCCGAGTTCGACACAGCAGCACCCCGCAAATCACGATGGCAGTAGATTTCTCGAAGTCACAGAAGGCGCCCATTACCGAAGGCCACATACCAAATTGAATGCACAACACGCACATGTTGTGATGTACGCGAAAAAAAGGCGACATGTCATATGAGGACAGTCAGCGGTCATTAAGTTTTAGCTGCCCCCTCTCCTCTCTTGGCGTGTGGAGTAGCCGGCGTTTCGGATCCAGCCGTTGCATGTAGTCTAGACATTTCCGACAGGACTTGACGAGGACGGGTTATAAAGCTGTAGATCGTACTGCTCTGCTCCTCTGCTGATCTCAGTGCCGAATGGCAATCGAGCAGACCTACATCATTCTGGTGAGTGTTGTGGGCATAGCAAAAGTTGTAGGCGAGTCCGCGTATGCAATTGGGTGAGTTGGCGTCCTGATGTCAGAGGCAACTAACTCGTGGTAAAGATCCTAGCGATGGGGGGGGGG